AGTTTATCTGTGTTAAAAAAACAAATTGACATATTTGCGTTTCGTTATTGCAATTTTTAGTGAAATTTATTTTTATCGTAATTAACTCAAAAGGCATTTCTGAAATCCAATAACAGTGTAAATGGTTCAAGCTTATCCCTGACAATCCTCATAAATTGAAAACAAAATTAAAAATCAAGTACCAGACATCTACTTCATAATACGTGAACAAATTTAAATATTTGCGTTTCGTTATTACACAATTTTTATTGAAATTTGTTTTTATCGTAATTAATTCAAAACGCATTTCCGCCATCTGAAATAGTGTAATAGGTTCAAGCTTAACCCTATCAAGCCTCCTAGATGAAAAACATTATCAAAATCAAGTACCGGATGTCTATAGCCAACCCCAATTTAGTTCAGAAACTCAAAATAGTAGTTTGAGTCATTGACGTCATTATCAACCTATAATGTGTGTTAGTACTTTTCCTTTCATACAATGCAAAGGACGTTAGTTGTTAATATAAAAAAAAATATATTATGGAGATAAGTAGTTTCTCCTTACAAAGTGTACAGAGCAAATGTACTAAAGTGACTTTTCTGAATCACAAGAAATATGCAGAATATCTCGATTCCAGTACGTCACGATTTTTTTGTTTTTTGCTTTCATTGTATTTCGATTTCTTAATTAGAAAAAAGTTAAGCCCGGTTTTGTAAAAAAAACTTAAAATGGCTCTACTGTAAAATGCCTTTTTGGCGTTTAAGTAGTATTGGCTTTCCAGTGACGATATTATCTTTCATTAAGTTGGCAAAAAGTAGTCTCTTGGTACTTTTAAAGAAATTGACTGTCTTCGGATGACATCTCCTCATTATCATTGATATCTTCGATCGACCAAAAGGAGATGAACTTGGAGTGGAACACGCTTGGACTCGGCGTAAACAAAGTTAAAATATGACTTATTTTTAAAATTAATTTTTTGATTCTTAAATCAAAAACTGATATTTTTATAGGACCTGGGTTTTTTTTATTTTATGCTTTAATTCATGCATTCAAGCTTAGGTTAAGTAAGGAAATCATTCGTTCTTGAGGATAATTTGTTTATATAAATTGAAAAGGACACAAAATAATGCAGTTTTGTAGTTATTATTAAATAAAATAAAATAAAGCTCAATATTTTTAATTGTTTAATTATTTACTAAAATTATTAATAAACGTCATATAGAAAAGCAGACGTAGGCTGTAAATTATCTGTTCTATTCCTCTCAAAACCCAAAGAACACATTATTGTCATTATGTAGGCGCAATAACCTACTTTCCTCTAATTCGAGAAAAAAGCCAATGGTCAAGTTAAATTAATCCTTGAAAGTAAAAACACGAAAAATATTCACAAACACAACAACAATACCAAATGCGCATATGCGCATGACGAAGTGAAACTCGAACTCACCAAGTTAGTTCTCCTTTGGAGATCATAATAATGGCAACAAGTAGACGCTTGAAATGCTCACAGAGTTTTTATTGCTATATTCTACCTACATAGTATTTTTGATGATTCCTTTTTTATTTGAAAGCTGGTACTTCTCATGTACCATACAAATTTGATCAAGATCTGATCAGTAGTTTTTGATCTATAATAATGCGTAATTAATTGACTACTACTTTACTAACGTGCTTTACTTTAATTACAAAGTTGGAAGCTTTACTTAGCAGTAGTATTCAACTAAAGTAACAAAATTATTTTCATTGAGTAATATTCATCAAATTGAGGACATAAACAATCTGAAAAAAGCTAAAAATGTATATAAATCATATTACAGAAATCATCGATTCCTGATCCAGGGATTATAATTTATAAAACGCAGTAATTTTATATACTTATTTTTTTCATTTATTAGTTAAAAAATAGTACCTAATAGGATTTTTTTTCCGAAATGTGATTTGTTAATGATTCCCCTACTGGCGTATTTCGACAACAACGACTAAAGGAAAGCAAGTGAAGTATGATATAAATGTGTCAAAAATTATTATTATGTATTGTAATATAATATAACAATATATTTCTTGTTACAGATACAGTCTTCCATACCATTCGTTTGAAGTGATATAGCACATAGAACTACGCAATTTTGCAGACATAAAAGCACCCGCATGGGTTATCATATTTCAATTGAAAATTGGAACGTACTCACATAACGTAAAGGAATTGACAAAAACGATAATATAGTGAAATAGAATGCCGTTTGAGTAATATACAAGATTGGTTTTATCTTGAATATAACAAGACTTATATACTCGTATATTATCTAGAAAATACTAATTCAGTTAAAATACAACGGAAAGATAACATAGTGACTAGTCTCCACTAGTTCGTCTGATTAATTCGATCACTACAGCACTAGATAGGTTTTTACTCAGTAATTCAGTATACCTAGTAGTATATTAGTTCTACTGAAATTAGTATATTCATTAGAATATATATATATATATATATATATATATATATATATATATATATATATAATATGGACTTACATAAGTTTAATAGTTATCTCATACTACTTTTACTTACATAAAGTAATAGAAAAAAGAAATGTTGCGTGTCATCTTTTTTGGATTGGAGTTTACTGCTCAAGAATCTGTGGGACTATTTTGGTTTAATTATGTATTCATACTATGTTGAACGAATCATTTTTTTTTTTCGAATAGGGGATACTGGGGGGTTCCGTTTCCGGTCATTGTAACATTAACATCACTGTGATTCTATCCGTAACAAATAATTTAAAATAAATAGTTCGAAGCCGCCTTAGCCGTCAAAACTAATATAAATCACAAAGTGGCACTCCGGTGACACAGAAGCAAGAAAACTCTGGGCTACGAGCAAGATATATCCAGTATAGTGCAGAATAAAATCCAAAATAACATTTAAGGTTAGAACATTTCACATAATTCGAAATTCATTCTGTCAAAATACTTCACCCTGTCAAGTTGACATTACCTTCAAAGAGCGAACCACAGACTAGATAGAGAAACTGACGTTGGAGCGAACCTAACGTTCATTTACTAAGTTGGCATTACCGCTAGCTTGCTTTATTTATCTATGATTATCGCCAATGAATGAATGAATGATAATTAACCTCGGGTCGGGTCATTAAGTTGGTATACCTGCGAGCGAACGATAGGGTGACCATCAGTGTTGCAAGTACATGAAAAATAATTACTACGATTTATAGTAAGTTCCGTTCTACGCTACTTATACTAAAAATATGGAGGAACAATTTCAATTATTATTTAACAACATGAAATCAGAAATGCAGAAACAAATAGCGGAGCTAAACGAATCACTTACAAAAAACTTAATGGATAGGATGGATGAAAAACTTAACCCTATTATTGAAGAGAATGAAAAATTAAAACAAAAAGTTAGCGATCTAGAGAAAGAGGTAGAATCTTTGAAACGAGATAAGAAAGGTAACAACATTATTATCTTCGGACTAGAAGAGGGAGAAAACTCGATTTCGGAGCTATTTGAAAGTGTCAAGGGGATCCTGAAGGAAGACCTAAATATAAATTTGGAGCAATTTGAAATAAACAATTTATACAGACTGGGAAAAAATAAAGTCCAGAATAAACCAAGACCGGTGCTTTGCTATCTTATAAATGCATGGAAAAAAAGATGAAATAATGAAGAACAGGAAAAATCTAAAGAACATTTATATATCAGAGGATTACTCAAAGGAAGTCTTGGAGAAAAGGAAAGCACTGCTACCACGGTTAAAAGAAGAGAGAGAGAAAGGAAATATAGCTTTTTTGAATTACGACAAACTAGTAGTCAAAGAACTCAACGCAGAAAAAAGGAAAAGGGAGCCAACTACCTCACCGTCACCATCCAAAACTCAACCTAAAAAACAACTTACCCTAAACTTTGCTAAAAATAACAGGATGCATGCCTTCGATGCAAAAAGACCTAGATCAAACTCTCTGACAAACAAACCTATACCCAATAAACACTAGCAATTAAACGAGAAACGGAAAACCCAAACAAACTATGAAAGCAAACAAACAGAAATAACACATCTTCCCCCAAGCCGACTGGTCCTCGTGGGGGACAAAGACCATAACCCTTCAACAACACAGAGAAGCAACTACAAAGAAACAAACATTTACGTCGCAGCCCTCAACGTGCGCACACTGAAAAATGAAGAAAATCTTATAGAATTAAATAATGCGTTAAAACAAATTAAATGGGATATCCTCGGCCTCAGTGAAGTAAGACGAATGGGAGAAAAAATTACCTCGGAACCAGACTTCTTAATGTATCATATAGGAACGACGCCAGGCCTTCATGGCGTTGGTTTCATCGTCAAAAAATATCTTGAAAAATCTATTGAAGGATTTATCGGAATTTCGGAACGCATAGCAATGATGAACCTGAAACTACCGGGATATAAAGATCCTTGGTCTATTTTACAAATATATTCACCAACAGAACAATCTGACTTAGAAACCATAGATAAATTCTACCTCGATCTAAATAACACTATCCAAGAACAGGCCTACAAAAACTTAATCATCATGGGTGACTTCAACGGCCAAATTGGAACTAGGCGCCCGGGTGAAGAAACAACACTAGGACCATTCATCTACAGAAATAAAAGAAGGAGCAGAAATGGAGAAAAACTTATAAACTTCACACTGGAAAATAACCTAACTATTTTAAACTCAGTATACAAGAAAAACAAAAAAGAAGATGTGGACATGGGTTTCACCAGATGGGAAAACAAAGAACCAAATTGATTACATGATTACTAACAGAAACAACTGCTTTACAAATTTTGATGTCATCAACAAGCTCAACTTCAATACCAACCACAGACTAATTCGAGCTGAAATAAAATCAGTACAACCGAAAAACTCTAGACCGAGGCAGGAACTACCAACTATCAAGCTCAGCAAGCAACAAAGCGAGCAACTAGTACTCACCCTAAAGGACAAATTTACAGACCTAGAAGAGTACGCAAAGATGGCAGGAACTCAGGAAAAATACAACTGGATAGAGACTACTATTAAAGTTCAACTACAACACATTAATAAGATAAAACCTGATCCCAGGAACGTGTTATCAACTAGTACTATAAAATTGCTAGAACAAAGAAACCAGCTAATCAACACAAAAGATATAAACGACAGAAGAAAGCACATAGCGAAAATCAGTAAAGACATCAATGAAAGCATAAGAAAAGACAGCAAAAGAAGAAGAATGGAAATTATCGAAAAATATGTAATCAAAACAGGAGGTGTTAAAAAAGCTAACAAAGAATTAACAAACTCAAAAGACTGGATCGCAAAAATTAAAAACCTCAGCGGAGAATACAGCCACCACAGAAAAAACATCTTACAAATTGCCACATCTTATTACAGAAAGATATACGAACACAACATCGCTCAAGACGAAGACGACTTAGAGGAAACCTCAAACGTCCCTAACATCCTTATGAGTGAAGTAATAAATGCTATAGATAGCCAAAAGAAAGACAAGGCACCAGGACCAGATGGCATAAACAATGAAATCTTAAAAGAAAGTAAAGAAGTTATAGCACCAGTCCTTATTGACATATTCAACGAGATACTAACCACCGAAATTATCCCACAGCAATGGACACAATCAAACATTATTCTTCTATATAAAAAAGGAGACAAATATGAAATCGGGAACTATCGCCCCATCAGCCTAATGTCCAATTTATATAAAGTATTTGCTAAGATCTTACTAAATCGGATTGAGAAAACATTAGACGAACACCAACCCATTGAGCAGGCGGGTTTTCGTAAAGACTACTCAGTGCTCGACCACATTCACGTAGTACGCCAAGTTATGGAGAAGTATAAAGAATACCAACTGACCTACTATATTGGATTCATCGACTACAGCAAGGCGTTCGATTCTTTATTTCACGCAAAGATATGGGAGTCATTAAAAGAACAAGGAATTGATCACAAGTATATCCGCTTAATTAAAAACGTTTACAACAAGAGTACAGCGAGAATACAACTGGAAAAGAAAGGCGAATGTTTCAAAATCGGCAAAGGCGTACGACAAGGAGACCCTCTGTCACCAAAATTATTCTCGGCGGTGCTTGAGTCAATATTCAGAGGTCTTCATTGGGAAAATCTCGGTATCAACGTAGATGGTCGTTCACTAACTCATCTGAGATTCGCGGATGACATTGTGCTATTTGCAAAAACTCCCGAAGATTTAACAAAAATGATAAACGACTTAGCAATGGAAAGCAAGAAGGTGGGTTTACAACTGAACCCAGAAAAAACTAGGGTGCTGACCAATGGAGAGAGAACAGCTATAAACTTAGGGAGTAATCAAATCGAGTATGCGGAAGAATATGTTTATCTGGGACAACTAATAACGAATGATAACCCCATGCGCAAAGAAGCTGAAAGAAGAATAACCAACGCCTGGAAAAGGTACTGGACTTTGAAAGAGATTATGAAGGATAAAAATCAGCATATTAATATAAAAAGCAAACTTTTTTAACACGTGCATACTGCCAGTTCTCATGTACGGCAGTCAAACATGGACCTTGTCACAAAACCTGACTAACAAACTTGCAACATGCCAGCACGCAATGGAAAGAAGCATGATGAATGTGAAAAAATCGGACCGACTGAGAAACTGTGTAATAAGAAGCAAAACAAAGGTTACAGACATAACGCACAAAATTAGAAGACTGAAGTGGCGATGGGCGGGGCACATGATAAGAGGAAGAGATAAATGGAGCAAAAATGTGACGCAATGGTATCCAAGAGAAGGAAAAAGGAAAAGAGGGAGACCACAAAAAAAGTGGGATGATGACATCAGGCAAGTGGCAGGCGTAACATGGAACAGGGTGGCTCAAGAAAGACGTGAGTGGAAAAGGTTGGAGGAGGCCTTTGCCGACTGGCAAACAGATCTTCAAAAAATAAGAAAACCTCAAATAAAAGACTAGATTAAGGATAACAGTAGTATTAAGCTTTGCATGTACTTCTCCTTTTTATGTAATTTTTGATCTGAATAAAAAAGGCTAAATAAAAAAAATAAAGGGGATACTGGCTTATATTGGTTTATTTTGTTTAAGAAAAGAAGTCATTCAACTAGTTGAAACAAACATAACAATATCAACTAGTAATTTCGTGTTTGATTAAGAATTTAATGTATATGTTCAACCAATAATATTATTAGTTATTTTTTAACGAATAATTTTTAGCTATTAAATAAATTCAACCATTAGCACTATCGCCATCTTTACGCAGAAGGACAACATAACGTCTTCACTTTTTGATAACACTCCCTCCAATCTTATTTCTGTACCGCGAAAGAGTACGAGCATTTACTTGAAAATCGATTCTTAAGGAGCAAACTCTGAAATTAAATGATATCAATCAGAAATTTTCGTTCTCAATATTAATACTGCTGATTTTTGTGCCAATTCAAATGTATGTTATTTTTTTGCATGAACGTTTAAAAGAGCAGACTTATACTCCTGTGTTTCGTAATACAAGAGAAAAAGAGACGTTTCGTACTGAAACTGGAAACCTGTGGCAGACTAGTAGGCAGATTTAGTGTAGGACAGACCCCTATTAGGTGATGACCTTTTAAGATATACAGGTGGCCCAGACCCGTACTTTGTGGCATTCCTTGAGGGATGCTTATGTTAAGCTTTAGATATGTGATGATCTGTAATCATGATGGTGATGCTCAAACTGCTACTAATTACTGAATAATAAAATACAACCTCGGAGAAATTTTGCATACATGAAACAAGTTTTCGAATTAATATTAAGACAAAATTAGATAAAAAAAAACTTTTGGTAAATTCAAATGTGCATGCCTTAAGCGTTTTCACAAAAATAACCTTATTATTAATACTTTTAACATTCCGATAATTTTATGTCAAACGCCAATAAAAGTACACGACAGCAAGTTCTCATATGATCGTGAAAAAATGTAGAAAAAAATACATTGGGACTCATGCACATAGTTGTAATAGTCAACTGAACTAATTTTACTTTAGATTTCCTTTGTAACTTTTATCAGATCTCTGAAGAATAAGCTTACTGAATATAAAATAATAGAGATAAAAATAGTGCGTTTCAAATCGTATTCGCGACTGGAGTTCACTGATTAATAAGTTGTGGAAGGTCTATTTTAGATTAATTATTTATTCACACCATGTTGCTTATTATTTTATTCTTAACGAGATAATGCATGAAGAAAGAAATATTTTGAATAGGGAATACTGGTTTATGTTGATTTATATTGATGAAAAAATTTGTTCAAGTATTAACAATTGAAACAAACGCATACATTCACAACAATATCAACAAGTATTTTCGTGTTTGATTAAAAAAATAACCAATATTTTTAATCATTAAAATTATTAGTTATTTTTTTGTCGGATAGCTTTAACATTAAATAAATTCAACTATTAACACTAGCCATTTCTGTACAGGAACATCATAACTTCCTCACTTTTTGATAACACTCCCTCCCATCTAATTTGTGAAAATCGATTTTTAAGTAGTAAACTCAAAAAATATTAAAAACATAAACTCCTAGATTTACTGAAGAATGGTAATAAATTTTTGCCTTTCATTTTCCCCTTCTTTCATTTCACTTCGTCTATCACTCATGACATCAACATAAAACATTTGATTAGATTTTACGGCTAGCCATATTGACGACAAACAAAAGCTAGTTCAATTGTTTATGTGAAATTTTATTAGTAGCTTATTGAGCAATATAAAATGATTTGAATCCGAAATTTTCTTTCTCAATAATGATACTTGCTTTTTTCACCCGACTTTAAAAATGAGGAGTTTTTATTTCAACTGCATGTTCTTTTTCTAAAGATGATTAAAAATGTCAGCTTAATGTTGATGTGTTTCGTATGGTAAGTGTAGAGAACTAAAGAACGTTTTTGAAATGAGGCATTGGTCAGAAGTGTAAATGTCTATTTTGATTTCTGGCCGAAGATAGATATATATGGGCCACCACAGCAAGCACTTACCATCAGATATTTTGTCTCTCATTTGTCACCCTTGTTCTTTATAAAATATCTTCGCTCCAAGTGAATTGATTTAAATGATTTCTTTTTATTAAGTAGAATTAACTTTAGGGTGGTCTTTAAAAAAATATTAAAAAAATTCAACTCATTTGTGTGGTAATTAGGCGAAGTGTAAATTTTTTTATAAATATTAGTACAGTTTCTTACATTTAATTATTTACGGGTAATATTTCAATTGCTTTTATTGGTTCCCGACAGTTAGTCTAATGCCGGATTCGAACCCACCTTATTGTCCGCGGTCGTCACACACATTGAGTTATCGCCGTTTTAATTTAACTATTAAAATGAAATTCTAGTCGCCCTTAGCTTGTCATATTTCTGTCTTCTTCAAAAAGGGTTCAAAAAATAAAATTTTTAATAAAAAAAAATTTCCGACGTCAAAAATTTTAAAATAAAATAAATTTATTCCTAGATAGCGCTATATTTCTTACGAAATATAGAAGAAATAAGAAAAGTAAGAAATACCAGGGGACTTTCAAAACAGCCTAGATTGAATGCGATACGAGACGAGAATGGCTGTATCCTGAATGATGAAGTGTTGAGTCTAAAGAGATGGAAGGAATATTTTGAAAGCGAATTTATGAGTGAGGAGAAGTGTGAACTAAATGAAATAGAAATTCCGAAAGAAGATGAAAGAGATAGGGAGATAAGTATAGATGAAATAATGAAAGCAATGAAAAGTATGAAAGTAGGTAAGGCAGCCGGATATGATAGAGTTTCACTCGAAATGCTAAGGGCTGGAGAGGACGTGGTGGCAGGCCTGCTGTACACCTTGTTTAATTTATGTTGGGAACTAAAGCGGGTACCGGGAGACTGGTGCAAAGCCGTGATAGTCCCAATATATAAGGGAAAAGGGTCACAGCAGGACTGTAAAAACTACCGTGGTATCAGCCTTCTTAGCATTGTGGGAAAACTGTATGCTAAGGTACTAATTGAAAGAGTTATGAAAGAAACTGATGAAAAAATTTGGGATGTGCAAGCGGGATTTAGAAAGGGAATGGGGTGTACAGATCAAGTCTTTTCCATGCGCATGATCGCGGAGAAGTTTTTGGCGAAAAACCAAAAAGTTTTTTGTGCGTTCATGGACTTGGAAAAGGCTTATGACAGAGTGGACAGGGATGTGTTATGGCAAACGCTGAACGCATTTAGGTTGAGCGCTGGTTTGATACAGGCATTAAAGTCTCTGTATAGGGACTCGAGTGCTTGTGTTAGAATCAACGGGGTCTACTCGGACTGGTTTGGCATCCATAAAGGTGTCAGACAGGGCTGTGTAGCTTCCCCGTGGCTGTTCAACCTATTTATGGACAGCTGTTTGGAAAATTTGAAAGTTGAAGAATGCGGGTTAAGAATGGGTGAGTTAACCATCAAATGCCTTTTGTACGCCGATGATCAAGTCATACTTGCATCGTCGGCGGCCGAGTTGCAAATGATGGTTACATTAATGAACAGGTCATTAAAAGAAAGGGGAATGAATGTGAACGCAAGTAAGACGAAAGTGATGGTTTTTGAAAGAGATGAAAGCAAAACGGTATGTGAAATAAGAATAGAAGGAGAGTTAATTGAGCAAGTGGATGAGTTCGTATATTTGGGATGTGTATTCAGCAGGGATGGGAGATATGATAAGGACATTGAACGACGAGTGAATGCAGGAAATAAAGTAAATGGGGCTCTACACTCTATTGTGAAAAGTCAGAATGTGTCAAAAAAGGCACGTATGGCAATTCACAGTGCTGTATTAGTCCCTACTTTAACGTATGGTAGTGAAAGTTGGGTGTGGCAGAAGAAGCACGAGAGTAGAATAAATGCAGTAGAAATACGGTCGCTAAGGAGTATGTTAGGGCTGAATCTGAGTGACAGGGTGAGAAACTGTGTGATAAAAGAAGAGTGTGGTTTGCAAGATGATGCGGTGACCAGGATTAAGAAAGGAATGCATCGGTGGTTTGGTCATGTAGAAAGAATGAATGCGGAAAGACTGACAAAGCAAATATATGTTGCAGAAGTGAATGGAAGAGTCGGAAAGGGACGTCCTAGGCGGAAGTTTGTCAACCAAATTGGCGATATACTAAAAATGGGCCAAATTAAGAGTACCCTTAACCGACGAGCATGTATGCGTAGGTATATGGATGTGGAAGAGGCGAGAAAGGTATGTCAGGATCGTGCTAAATGGAAGTCTGTAGTCTCTGCCTACCCCTCTGGGTGACAGGCGTGAGTGTTTATGTATGTATTTATGTATAGCGCTATTATTGTCGGTGCTAAGAAATAGTATATAGAAGAATTTGAGCGTTGACTTTAGATGCTATTAAGTTATATTGATTTTTTATATAGGATGGAGGAGGGTGATAAACGAGCACACAGTCCACCATGAGGTGGTTACCATGAGGTAAGTGGTTGCTGTGGCCCATAGACATCTACATCTGTCCTCGACTACGAATTAAAATGCAGATGCGTTGTCACCCGTGAGGACCAAGATGGAATGCCTCGTTTCCAGTAAAAAAGGGTCTCCGATTGTCTACAGTCACCATACGAAACACAGCAGCATTAAGCTACTATTTGACGCTGGTATTCTGTGAGAGCGTGGTCCTTCCCCGGTCGAGCCGACCCATTAGTGCTACAGCTATGCTACTAATATAACTGCAGCATGGCTCTACCACATTGATGGTGCAGTTTGCTTATACTTTGTACATTTATATACAATATATTTATTTAACTTCTTAGGATTTTATATTATCGATTTTATGTTTTCAATTTTATATTTAATTGTTAATGATTTACTTTAATATTTGTTCTTTACAATATACAGCTAAGTTAACAATGGACAAATTTAATTCCCGTCGAAATTCTCTGGCAATCAACCCGTAGCGTGGTAATGCACTTATTTATAATGAATGTTAAGGTGCGTAAGGCGGCCACTACTCCATACTATCCCACAGGCTTCAAAAGAGGCGAAAGAGGAAAATAAGATAGATGATGGACAACCTCTGCTCCCTATGTAGTAATTTATGAGGCCTATGTTCATCAGTAAACTTTTGTAGGCCTCAATGATTTAATAATTGAGCTAATTATAGTAAATAAATTCTCCAGATCAACTACCAAAACGCAAATCATTAAAATAAATCATAATAATATACAAGTTCACAAACATCCTTTCGTAGAAGGCAATAAGGCCGCGAATTTATCTCAGTTTTGAAAAATTACATACTTTATAGTATTTCTGTGGTATGAAATAAGTCGACCGCCTCGGAATAAATAGCCAAATGATATTTCTTGTCATTTTTTTGCTCATAAAATATATTACATTTCATCAGGCATAACGGACAACGATAAAGTATTCTACACTATCTTCTTGCGCGTAATAATAACGATAACACTCGAATTACGAATGAAGTTTTACGACTAGAATCGACTGTAAAAATTTTGATCGAGAAAAACACCGAATGAAAGTGACAGTACCTTAATAATAGGGCCTCGACCTACGAACTCAGAATGTCAATGTGGAATTCAGAATGGAATGTCAATGTGGTTCGCTGTTCGATTACTTCGGTGAACTCCTCCTAATAGAAATAATTAAATAATAAGCTTATTTAAATTGTTTTTCTTGAGTATTAGTAATCTTTATAGCATTACTGGTAATCTTATAATGAAAAAATAAGTCCTGGGTGAGAGAAAGTTATAAAATATTTATATCAATGTGAATTTCAAAATTAGTTTACTACTGCCATTTGCCGGTTGCGACGCTTCAGGCCGTGGGTTGAAATCCTGAATGAATCAAGTATTTATCTCAGAGTAAATAAAAAAGAAAGACAGAGCATTATGTACATTTCAAGAGAAGAAAGAACCAAGCCAAAACCGGCTCCGGCAACCAAAGGCTATCGCCGTACTGATCCGAGTGAATACATAATTTCTATAAAAACTTGAAAAAACGCCGTCATAAGGTCTAAAGTTCCGTAGCGCCCGCGACAAGTAAAACCTCTTAGAAATTGTCAGAATCTTAAAATATTTTTTATAAAATTATTAATATAAGTAATCAAAATAATGAGCAAGTAAATTATGAATATTGATTTTATGAATATATTTGAGTGATTCCCAAGCATATAGATTATGTAATTTCGTTGTAATTCAACTATAGTGATTTTTAGAGGTGTTTTCGCAAATAATTATCGATTCAAAATTATACAATCGTGTTTTTGAACAATCAAATTCAAGATAAAGACATGAATTTACCTATATCAAAATTCCAATTTCGTTAGTGGTGTCATAGTCCTATACGATTCGATGAAAGGAGGTGCATTTTTTCACGGTGTCGCGTTAACAATACATCGTGAAATCTTCAGCGATAAACATAACATTTCAAAAAATACTCCTTCCGCACGAACGCTCGCAACGACGTGTGCCCTTACTTGTGTACCCATTCGGGTTGTTGTTTCGCTGATATTAACTTCGTGAAACCTCGGCATTTTCCGGCAAAGGTGCATGTCGTGTCGGGCAGGCATCACACATTACGTAATTAATTAATTTTCTTGTTTAGCGCTGACTCAAAATTACTGAGGTATACTTACATTAGTTTAAGAACTTAGTTATCAAGGTTAATTAAAAACTCAAAATAATTACAAATATATATACTTAGGTACATTTACATTAGTTTAAGTATTTTGTTGCTAAGGTAAAAGAAAAATGTTTATTCTACTTCGTTATTATACTTAATGGTTATTATACTATGATGTCTCAGGTGATAAAAATGACAATAAATTATGAGTGGAGTATTGAAAAAAACGCGGATGGGCACTTTCAGCCAGAAGAAGAAAGTTTCACATCGGAGGATCCTGAAACTGATACTCAAACTCAAAATCTTTTTGACATTGTAATGCAGGACAGGAATTTAAACAGCTAACGTGGCAGACGAAGAATTTGTGGCACCAGACCTGGACCTGGCAAAATAGCACAACACTCTGAAAGCATAACCCATGGTGAGAGGCTAGTAAGAACGTTATCATTGCCAGAAGTAGATATGAGTCAAGTACCTAGTGATAGCACTGAATGGACGTGTATTTAAGTGGTGGTGGAACGGGCAGTCGAAGTCAGCAAAACGTACTGAGAGAAGTTTCAGGTTGTACTCCATATGCTAAGCAGTATGTAAAAAACAAAAAAGTTCTATCCTCCTGGTGACTTTTTATTCAAGAATGTGTATTACGACGCAAAAAGTTATGCACCAAAACTGAAGCATGTATCAAAAGTCAATACAACTCGTGGGAAATTTCTTAAGATAAGTTAGATGTGTCCACTGCCTTGATCCATGCACGTAGATTTTACAACATGAGCCATTTAGATTGAGAAATTTTACGGTCCCTGTTTTCAAAAACACTATGAGTAAATATAGATACAAAAAATGACATATTTGCGATTTTATTTGAGAACCACGCGTAATACGCGTTTATCTACAGACAAATTTATAATGGTTTCTGATATATAGAATAAATTTGTAGAAAACTGTCAAATGTGTTATATTTCTGGTGAAAATATGCTGTTGACAAACGGTTATTTCCATCGAAAACACGTTGTCCTTTTTTGGCAATACATTGGAAATAAACCTGATAAATTTGATAGTTATTATTGGATGTTGAGAGCAAATGTCTGTGTGGTGGCTTTCATTATTTAGGAAAAAATGTTCAGCACCTAAGTGATATTCTATTACCAGAACATGTAGTTATGACATTTTCACAACGCTATCTCAAAAAAGGTCGAAACGTTACAACGGACAATGTTTTCACATCTCTTAAATTAGCAGAAAATCTAAGATGCGAAAATACAAGTATTTTTGAAACAATTTTTATTTTATTTTTTTATTTAATATTCTTTATTGCACACCATATATAAAAAAATTACTAATTATATATACAAAAGAAGTATGCAATGGGCGGTCTTATTGCTGATAGCAATTTCTTCCAGACAACCAGTGAATGGACAGGATTACACAAAAATTACAAGGGTAGGGCACATTGGTGTGATAAAAAATAGAATACACATTTCATATATATATATATATATATATATATATATATATATATATATATATATATATATATATATAAATATAACAAAACATACATAGACTACAAACATATATACATACAAAAAATATATATTTAATTATTTAACTAAATGCAATCAATATACTACATATATATTATATTATATTATATTAAACGACTAGTGTGGGAGCGAAGTGCAAGGTAATGGTTCTTTACTAGTTTTTTAAAAACCGGTAGGGATGGAGCGCGTTTGACTGCCAATGGGAGTTCATTCCATAAACGAACGGCCTGTACAGTAAAAAACTTGTTCATAAATTTACTAGTATGTTGTGGCATATACAATTTCAAGCTCTCTGCTGATCTCAGGTTACGCGAATGGGAATCACGAAGAAACACAAACCGATTTTTGAGGTAAGAAGGGTAAGAAGGATTAAAGAGAATACTATAGAGAAGATGAAGTATGTGAGCATTCCGATGAAGACGTATCGACAACCACTTGAGCTTAGTACGAAAAAGAGAGACATGGTCATATTTACGTAATCCAAATATAAACCTTATACAGAAATTCTGAATTCGCTCAAGTTTATCAAGCTGAGCTTCGGTGAGATCTAGATAGCTGACGTCCGCATAGTCGAAAATAGGGAAAAGAAGGGACTTGGCAAGCACAGTTTTGGTGTATATTGGAAGAAAGTTACGTAATCTACGCAAGGAGGCTGCAGAGGCATAAACTTTACGGTGGATCTCTTTGATTTGATGGTCCCATGACAGATTTTTATCTATGTGAATCCCCAAGTTCTTCACTGAATCTCTGTAAGGGATATTAGTTTTATTAAATACAATTTGGTGTAGGTGATCAACTGATAACTTATTCAGCATTTGCGCGCTACCGATGATAATGGTTTGTGATTTAGCTGGGTTAACGTGAAGGCCGTATGCTTTAATCCACTCGAGAATTCGTTCGAGATCTGCATTAATGACATTGATAGCTTTGGGGAGATCGTTGGGACAAGCTTTAGTATATATTTGCAGATCATCTTCATAAAGGTGGTAGGAAGAAGTTAAATTATTAGATATTGAGTTTATAAAAACTGCAAAAAGTAAAGGAGATAAAACGCCTCTCTGCGGCACACCAACACATACGTTACACCATGATGATAATGTATCATCGATGCGTATACGTTGCTGGCGCCCAGACAGGTAACTTCGAAACCAACCAATCGCTGTTGGAGATACGTTAAGAGAGCGCATTATACCAAGTAGGACATCATGGTCAACGGTATTAAAGGCATTACTGAAATCTAATAAACAAAGAACAGTTACTTCGCCGCGTTCCATTCCTAATCGGATGTCATCGGTAATGTTCACCAATGCTGTGGTAGTACTGTGTCCAGGTCGAAATCCTGACTGTAAAGGATTAAGGAGAGAATTAGCACAAAGAAAGCTGTTGAACTGGATATAAACAAGGCGTTCAAGGACTTTTGATAAGAAGGGCAGTAAAGAGATGGGACGATATTCAGAAAAGGACGCAGGATTAATTTTCTTTGGGATAGGAATAACTTCAGCATTTTTCCAAGATGATGGAAAACTATTTGTAGAAATGGAGAAGTTAAGGATATGACAAATAATAGGAAGAATAATATCAAGAATAGGAAGAATCATATTACGACTGACACAATCACTTCCCACTGCATTGGAAGTAATAGATAAAACGCTCTTCTCAACGCCACAAGCAGTGAATGGTTTAAAAATAAAAGAGGAGTGACTGGGAGTGGGAATAGTTGAAAGAAATGTTAGTGTATTAGCCTTAGCAGTACTATCTAAGCAGGATGAAGAAGAGAAATGTTTATTTAAAAGATTAACGTTTAAATCATTTGTCGTTGGAGTATTCTTAGATTTCCCAACACCCAATGATCTAAGAAATTTCCAGACCTTTGCTGTATCCCCATTTTCAACTGACTTATGAATATGAAGGCGTTGAGCATCCCTACACACCTTATTGCAGTGATTGCGAATGTTAATATACTTTTCCATATTAAAAGCATTTGGGTTACGTTTATACTTAGCCTTAGCTATCGCTTTTTTATTAATAATATGTTTAATATCATCGGTAAGCCAAGGTGATGGACGATGTTTAATTTTGACTGCGCGTACAGGTGCATGAACATCATAGATTTTTATAAGGGCTGAAGTAAAGATTGAAACTTTACTATGTAGGTTATCTGCGTTAAAAATATTTGACCAGTCCCATAGTAGCGCATCCTATCAAAGACTGTCTATATCCATGCCACCAAAATTACGCTGCAGTAGAATTTTTGGTTTGAATTTGGGAGATCGGGTATTATAGGATAGAAAGATAAGGTCATGATAGGAGAAGGCATCGGCCGCATATTGGCCGTGCTTCGTGACTAAGTTGCAAGAGGAAACTAAAATAAGGTCAAGGAGAGAGGGATTCGAGTTTGGAAAATGATGCGTGGCATTTAGTGGTAAAATAGAGAGATTACTAGAATATACGATTGACTGAAGAGAAAAAGCCCTGCTATCTTGTTTAAGGAGGCACGTGTTAAAATCACCCATAATAATCGTTTGTGAATAGGAGGGAGTAAGCTTATCAATGATATTTTGGAATGAGTTAAAGAAGTCAATACGCATAGAAGGGCAGTAATAAACACCAAGAAGAACTTTTGAGTGTGATAGTGTGGCTTCAATGAAAAGATGCTCACCGGCATTTAGCGGCGCATTGTGCAGACATATCGACAATAGTGAAAGGAATGTGTGAACGTAGATAAATGGCAACACCTCCACCGCCACCTACTAAGCGATCGTTTCGAATTAATTGGAAGCCAGGAAGATTGTAATAGGTGTTAACACCAATCGAGTGTTATTACAAATTACAACATAATTAAAAACAAAAAACCAAAAAAAAAACACATTTCAAAATCAGATAATATAAAAAAAATACAAATTGGTAATACCGCTACACAAATACAATACTTACAAACGTTTATAGTATTAAATCTAAGGTGGCAGAATTAATAAAGTTGTCAGTCTTCATATTACAGCTTTTGGCTGAAAGACTGGTAGCCGATGTGACCATAACTTACTAAAATAAATATTTAATAATCTGTGAAAAAGAAAGCAGCCGCTGCCTCTGTCCGCCATAGATTACTGTATATAATATGTCTGATTATTTACTAATCTATGTGACTGCCACGGTGTTGTTGAAAAAGTATATACACAAAGACTATTGGTATTGTAAACATATTAATTTACTTTTACGTGCACAAGATTGAAAGAGTACTAATTAATAAACTATAATACCAATTAGAAATAATAATAAATAAGAATACTAATTAAAAATGTATATAAAACAGTTTCTACACGTAATAGGGTCAATGTAACAGTCAATTCATGATGTGCTAAGGTTTAGAATAAAATGATTTACCTAGTTTCAAATAGTGTAAATTAATTGCAGCGGAACTTATCTAAATTGTAATTTAAAAGAATCATTGCATAAGTTACGTTAAAGTAGGGATAAAGAAATTAAGCATGCATAATCATTTCTTAACTGCGGCCCCTCTCTTGGTCTTTGCTGTTGCTGGCTTCTTTTCAGTCACTTTAGCTGAAGCATCTGGGCACTGATCTAACTTATGAACTTCGCTCACTGTAAGAACTCGAAGACGAGAGCCGTTAGGCCTGAGAATATAAACAGATCCATCCTTAGTCCAGCAACTAGAAATTCCGAACTTATCTCGAGCAGCCATGAAAGCATCGTGTCTTGATTTAATTAGAAATTCGGAAACTGTGACACCTGATCCCTTAAGCAGAGTCTTGGAAAACCAGACTTTATTCCGTAATATGAGAT